CTCCAAAGCCAACCATCCCAAAGTACAGTCTAGGACAAGTGGAAGAAGAAGTCTCACTTGGCAGAAGATCTTCAATAAGGATGGGCTGAAGGACAGCTCCTTTTGATCCACCCCAGTGCTCTGGGAGAATGGGGCAGACAAGCCAGAAATTTTCTGTAGGTCCGTTCTGATACGCACTTCTCCAAAGCACAATGCCACATAGTGTCTGCCCAGAAGAGAAACTTCACTACCACCAGGTTCATCCATCCCACAGCAACCTCCTCCCCAGCCCCACATTCATTCTTTTGTCCTTCCTATAAATACAGTTCAAATCACATAGAATAGTCTCATAGCAATTTTTAATATCCGTCTCACAAGATAATGGTACCCAGGCTAACAAGGAGATTTCAGCAAGAACTTTCTTCCCTCCTTGGGCTGTGAGGCCTCTGTAAAAGAATCTCACTTTGCAAACCCAACTCCAAAATATTCCCCAAGTGGAGAAGAATATAGGGTACTCACGGCAGATCATGGCTAAGGAGTTTGCTGGAAATCCACAGGTTATCAATTTCCTAAAACAGTATTGGAGAAAGCTTTGTACACTAGCTGCTAGGTAAGCAATGAGCAGCTTGACAAGCCAAGAAAGGTTCTGGGTTCTAGAAGAAGAGGAATTGCTATAGGCACTTCCACTAAATTTGTGCCATTCCATAGCAACTGGCTTCTCTGCTCAGCACTCGCCTGATGACATCAGTTGAACTTGCTTAGAATTTCTATTTTATGGGTATGCTGCCCTGATTCCCCTCTTAAATTAGAACAGTGAGGCCTTTTATTTCCTGTTATCTTTCTTCTATTCTTTACTTCTGATTCTTTCTTATGTGCTCTGGACATTGTGTGCCCTATAAACATTTTTAGCTGAACGACTTACATCAACCCCAGTGTTCCCCAAATAGCTCCAGGACCATCTTGGTAAAGAGATGGCAAGGATGGGATTAATTACAAAAGTCACCCAGGATTTTAAAAAGTAAATTAAAAGTTTAAATTCAGCTGGCTCAACTACACACACACCCAGAGAGTCTCCCAGAACTCACCACTGTTTGCTGGTGCTGCTGAAACTTAAGACTGACATTCTGGATCCAAAAAAAGCGGAAGGAGCCAACCTTTAGCTCCGCCTGCAGATTCCGCTGACACCACTTGGTGGCCCACCGGACCGCAAGCCACCTGCAGAAAACTCCCTGTGAATTCATAGAACCCTCTCTCAAGGGCTTCCCACATCCCTTGCTGGCCACAAAAAGCCTCGCAAAGGATCATGTTTTGCAACTGGACTTTCTGCACAACTCTCCTTCTTCCCAAAGCACCAGTCTATCATACACATTCAGCCACAATGATCAGGATCCTAGCCCCCAGAAACCCCTCCACCCAGAGGATATCACACACACTAAACTCCACTTTAAGTTGGGAATAAAAAAAGCAATCTCTCAAATCGTTAGGAATCCCAGAGGTAGAGAGAAGAGGCCCTAGCAGGAATCAAAGCAGAGGCAGCTCTGTCAGATGTGCCATCACACACTCCCCAAAGGGTCTCAGTTTCTCCACTCCAGACAGGTGTCCACAAGAAGGCACTGTGGGGTCAGAACCGACCAACTCAAATGCTGCTCTCGCCTGGATAACCAGACCTCCCGTCCCGCTCCCCAGGGCGAGGCTGCAAGTGCACTTCGCCCTTGGTGAAGAGGACATTCAGGGGCTTGTGGGGGAGAGAAAGGGAGACCACCGAACCAAGCCCCTTTCTCACACACACCTATTCTGTTCCCGACCTCAGCATTTCCTCAGGCCCCACCCGCTCCCTCAGTCTCCCCCCCAACACTGGCAGCCCATCCCCAGCAGCTCCGGCCGCAAGGCCCGCTCAAGCCCTCCCCTCACCGCGCGCCCCCTCCTCGGCCCCATCCTCTCCGCCTCCGGCGCCTCTGTCCAGCGCGAGCCCCCTCCTCAGTCCTTCTTCCTTCCCCCGCCCGCCGTGGCCGCGAGCCCCTCACCGGCCTAGAAAGAGGGCGGTAAGCGCAACCAGCAGCAAGACCAACAGCGCGGAGACGAGCAGAGTCATTTAGGTCCGGGTCCGGCCCGGCTGGCCCCGGCCCCCGCCATGCCGGGCCCCGACGCCGGATCCGCACAGCGCCGCCGCGGGCCGACCAGCCGCGCGCGCAGGGATAACGCTGTGCGAGGAAGCGTTGGTGCGCACGCGAGCCCCGCCTTCCGCAGCCCGCCAGCCAGCCAGCTGGCTCCCTCCTGCGCTCCGCCCCGCCCCGCGTCCGTGAGGGCCTGAGGGCCGACTGGCTGCTTGCGCGAAGTATAGGCGTGGCTCCAGGAAGAGGGCGCAGCGGAACCGAGCCAGAGTTGACACACACGCCCCGCCCCGGGCGCGCCAGACGGTGCCCGGAACTGCGGAGCCCCAGGCCCGCTGGGGTCGGAGTCCACGCCCGCTCCCTGTGCTGGCTGTGGGCCTGGCTGGCTCATTTTGGCCGCGGAGGGTTCCACTTTCCGGGGAGTTATGTAGGCTGCCTGACCACTTAGGGCTTGCACAGAGGGTTCTGCGGCAGTTACACCCCTGGGTCAGACACAGTAGCACGCCCATCTTATTCAAGGATTCTCTGTGAAAATTATTGAGGAACTCACGAGGTGATTAAAAGGCCTCAAAAATCCCACCTCATTTCATCCACAGGGGAAACCCATGAGTTGTTAACTCATTTACTGTTTGAACACTGTTCTGGTAATATGTATTTTTTTTCTTTTGTCCAAATGTGGTTACAAATTAGCATGTATTGACCTACCTTTTGGGCAGTTTTAAGTATCTACCATATGTATAGCATGAAATTGGCCCCGGGAGGTGAGGAGAGGGGGAAAATACTGCAGACGTAGTAAACATTGTTCTTGCCCTTAAGCAACAAATGGTTTTTCTGGGAAGCAAACATTATTATTAATACATAAAATATGGAATTCAGGGTCAATTCAGGTCAGGGTCAATTTTGCCTGCTTCTCTGTAAAATGAGGGAATTGGCCAACGGTCTCTTGGAGTTACTGTGATGCTATGGATTAATATGTGAATGATGATCTACTAATACAGTATAAACTAAAGAAATCAGGTGTGGTAGCCCATGCCTATAGTCCCAGCTACGTGGGGCTGGAGCCTGAGGCTGGAGGATCGCTTGAGCCTAAGAGTTTGAAGTTGCAGTGGGTTATGATGATGACGCCACTGCCTTCTAGCCCAGGCAACAGAGCCAGACCCACTCTCAAAAGGAATCAAGCAAGGAAGGACAGAGGGAGGGACAGAAGGAAAGAAGGAATCCTAAAGATTTCAAAATAAATACTAAATAAATTCATGTCCTTTTGCTTTCACTTCCTAATCTCCATAAATTTCCTTCAAGATTTTGCTCAGAGCCTCTTTTTGGCTCCCTGAGATAAAGCACCATTTAAACTTTCACCTGTGTGTTGCCCAAAGTTGCTTTTACTCCTCCCACTGGTTTCCTTCCCTATCTAGTCCTCCTATCAATTATTTCACATCTCCCCAAGGGGTCCACCACTGTTTCAATGCCATACTTACCTCTCAAGCACTATTTCTGTGTCATCTTCCTTGTAATCTGCAGCCTCCCATCAGGGTGTGTCCTCTGAAAGCTCAGGGAAAACCCAACAATTCACTGAAAACTGTCCAAATCAAGGAGTGTCTTGCAACACTTCTCCACTCTAGTTCACCTTACCCAACCTGTTCCCTTTATTCAGCTAAGATTCCTATCATTTCCTTCTTTTTCCCTAGACTGTTACTAGCCCTACTCCCAACCATCTCATAGCCTAAAATTTTGATTTTTATTATTTGTCTACTGCTTTCTGGAAAGATTTCAAATAATCAATGTAACTGAAGTGAAATAAGGGGTTGGTAGGTAGAGGAAGCAATGGAGACTCAGTTTACTGAGACCAGAAGTCCTTGTAAAAGAAACCATATCTTTTAAAGTAATGGCCATGTTTGGCACAGAACTGGCTTCTGTAAATGTTCAACATCAATTACTTCTTTCTCCTTTAAAAATAAAAGTTCAACATAAACAACTTAAAGCAAGTAGAAAAAAGAACAAAACCCAGAAGTTTCTAAAAATGAAAAAGGCTGCTAGTCACTGAAATGCCAGCAGATGGCAGTCACCACTGTTTACCACTACCATGACTGAAGGATATAGGAACAAACTTTCTGGAATTAATCCGCACAAGAAAGGAGGAAATGAGGTAAGGAGAGGACAAACATTTTCTATTCACCTTTTGAGAGAAAGATATATCTCTGTTTATAAAAAAAAAGACTTGTTTTCTGAGAGCTAAACACAATTATAGTGCAGTGAAAAGAACATGAGTCAGACATAGCTGGATTACTATCCCAAATTTACTAGTTTTCAGAATCAGGCAGTTATCCAACTTTTCTGTTCCACATTGGTAAAACTTTAATATCTACCTTATATTTCTGTGAAGATTCAATGATGTATAATATGGTGCCTGGTATTTAGTAGTAAATACATGTTGGTCTCTCTTTCTACTCCTATACTTTTTCTCATCTGCAGTAACAGATCCAAAGCAAAATATTTCATTGGCTATTTATTATGCTGTATTCTTTTGAGAGTCTTAGACATAATTAGTCAAAAATCTAATAAAGATGAGGTGGCTGGGGAGAAGTGAAAGTAGAGAGAGAAAAGGTTTGGATGCAAATAAAGCCCTTAAAAAAGACTCAGCACAGTAGCTCACGCCTGTAATCCTAGCACTTTGAGAGGCCCAGGTAGGAATATCACTTGAGGCCAGGAGTTCAAGACCAGCCTGAGCAACAGAGCAATACCCTGTCTCTACAACAAATTTAAAAATTAGCCAGGTGTGGTGGTGTGCACCTGTAGTCCCAGCTACTCAGGAGGCTGAGGCAAGAGGATCGCTTGAGCCCAAGAGTTTAAGGTTGCAGTGAGTTATGATGATGCCACTGTACTCTAGCCCAGACAACAAAGTGAGTCCCTATCTCAAGAAAAGAAAAAAAAAAGTGGTAGGGGGCCATGTTGAAGGTTCCCAGCATCTCAAAAGTTATCTTATGACTTGAGGATTAAGCAAATCATGAAATAGCACATCTGATAAATAACAACACAGTGACTAGTAGAAAATTCTTTTCTAAAAAATCATATTGGAGAAAGAATAGGGGTAAAGTCACACACATTAACAATCCACAACGCCAAGCTCTTAAGGAGTAAAAGTATCCCAGCTAAGAGGGATGTCCTCTGCAGTATGTTTTATCAGTGTGAATAAAAAGCATTTGTTCCTTCACCAACATGTCCTCAGAAAGAACTGACCCAAGTCTGGGAAAGCAACCAATTAAAGTGTGAAGGGCTGAAGCTTCCAAACACAACCACTATTTTCTGTCATGCATCTACATCTCAGTGCTGATATGGCCACTGCCCAGGAAACTTGTGGCAGGGTTCCCAGGGTGAAGCAGAGATTATGTCTATAAACACTGTGTGGTGACAATGGCTGAGAGTCTCTACATTCATAGCTCTGCATGGTGGGCTTCTGCCTTCAGCAACTCACTGGGCTTCATGAAGATGCCTTCCATGGCTTTCCAGTAGTTGTTCTGGCTTGGCTGAGCCATACCATGCACCTCTTTTTGTCCACTGATGGGTCGGCCATATTGTTCTCCTGTGACAGACAGCAGTACCTCAGTGGAAGAATGTTTGAACCGCACCTCACCATCTCTCACCCAATAGGGCCCATTACAGAGCACTGTCCAGTCATCCAGATAATCACCTTCACCTTCCTCACCAAAAGCACTCACTTCCTGGAAAACACAGAAGGTGGTAACATTAGCATGGCTGACTCACAGGCTTGAAAATGGGAGGGAGTCAATGGGAATAAAACCAAGGCTACCCAGAAGTGAAAAATGAGAGGATTTCTAGTGTTGTTTACAGAAAATAAAACACGCTGTGGAGAAAAAACAAAAACAAAAAACAGACACAAAGGGCATGTAAGAGGAAAAGAAATTAGCTGCCATAAGATTATGGTCCAAATAATTACTTTGCAATTAATACTATTAATATATCTGCCTTATATGTTGTATTAAAGTCTTAAAGCACTTTATATCTCTTGTTATTTGACTTTAAATATTCCTGCTTCATTACCTTAACTAGAAATTAAACAACCTGATGAGAAAGTTAGAAATGGGATAGGATCTGGAGTCAGGCAGACCCTGAATCTCAGCTTGATTCCTTTCTGTGTAATTCCTTTGAGCCTTCATTTTCTCCTCTATAAAATGATGACAATATCACCTTACAGAGCAACTGTGAAAATTAAATGAGAGAATAAATAATAATTAAGTGAAATATAGCAGGTTCTCTGTATTCCACTCCTCATCTAACTCCTATTCTCCTTAAGGCCAAATATTCAGTTTCTATATAATGGCAATCAAAAAATTACTGAGTATTTCAGAAATTTTTAAATACACACCAATAACTACATAATTTTAGATGATAAAAAGCAGTCAGGCCAGGCATGGTAGCTCACGCCTGTAATCCTAGCACTCTGGGAGGCCGAAGCGGGTGGATCGCTCAAGGTCAGGAGTTTGAAACCAGCCTGAGCAAGAGCGAGATCCCATCTCCATTAAAAATACAAAGAAATTAATTGGCCAACTAAAAATATATATACAAAAAAAATTAGCTGGGCATGGTGGATCATGCCTGTAGTCCCAGCTACTTGGGGGGCTGAGGCAGGAAGATCGGCTGAGCCCAGGAGTTTGAGGTTGCTGTGAGCTAGGCTGACACCATGCCACTCACTCTAGCATGGGCAGCAAAGTGAAACTCTGACTCAAAAAAAAAAAAGCAGTCATTTGAAAACGGACTTGTAAGACTAAAGGCAAAAGAACTGTACATAAGCATAGAAGTCTACTTGATAGAATTGTTTCCCATGGGGGTACCTGTTAAGAATTCTGGTAGTTAAACTTGTATACTGGAACTGAACAATAAATGGATAGCAGATGGTAGGAGTCAGTTGTCTAACTGTTGGAGTGAGAATTTACAAATAAGCACAGGGAGGAGAATAGAATGATCTACATGGTAATGGAAGACAGTTGAAGACTGTATAAGAGCCCTAGCCAGGCATGGTTGCACACGCCTATAGTCCCAGCTAATCAGGAGGCTGAGGCAGGAGGGCTGCTTGAGCCCAGGAGTTTGAGGCTGCAGGGAGCTATGATCTTGCCTGTGAATAGCCAACCGCAATCCTACCTGAGCAACATAGGAAGACCCCCATCTTTTTAAGAAAACAAACAAAAAAAACCCATGTTTAACTTAACATAGATACACATGATATCTACATATAAATATTTGTATAGACATGTATATGTACATGAGTAAGTATACACACATATATTTCTTTCTTTCTTTCTTTTTTTTTCTCACTTTGTTGCCCAGGCTAGAGTGAGTGCCGTGGTGTCAGCCTAGCTCACAGTAACCTAAATCTCCTGGGTTCACATAATCTTGCTGCCTCAGCCTCCCGAGTAGCTGGGACTACAGGCATGCACCACCATGCCTGGCTAATTTTTTATATATATATCAGTTGGCCAATTAATTTCTTTCTATTTATAGTAGAGACAGGGGTCTCACTCTTGCTCAGGCTGGTTTTGAACTCCTGACCTAGAGCGATCCGCCCGCCTCGGCCTCCCAGCGTGTTAGGATTACAGGCGTGAGCCACCACGCCCGGCCCACCGGCCCACATATATTTCTTTATTCTATTAGGTGAGAGGGCCTAAAAGAAACACTCCAATAGCAAAAAGCTCACATAGGGCCTAGATCTTGGTTCTAATACCATTCTTTAATAAAAGGAAGCAGGACTCTTTAGAGAAATAGCCAATCCTAGTACTAGGGCAAGAAATAAAGAAGATGAGCCTGGAGCATCATTTAGTAACACAAGGTAAGGAAATGCTTGAAAACACAATGGGATTCTATCAAAGGGACACAAAAGCCACTGAAAGAACTCCCAACAGCCAAAGTTGAAACAATTTGAGCAACAAAATAAAGACAATGGTATTGGATTATAACTCAAAGTATAAAATAAATATTCATGAGGTCATATAATACAAACAAATGACTGAATAAATCAATTGGAGAGAAGAGACAAATCGCCCATATGAAAAAATTCCCAAATAAATTATGGAGATATTCCATCCTAAAATAGGGGAAGCATCACTCCCCATTCCTTTTTTTTTTTTTTTTTTTGAGACAGAGTCTCGCTTTCTTGCCTAGGCTAGAGTGAGTGGCCATGGCATCAGCCTAGCTCACAGCAACTCAAACTCCGGGCTCAAGCAATCCTCCTGCCTCAGCCTCCCAAGTTGCTGGACTACAGCACGAGCCACCATGCCTGGCTAATTTATCATATTATATATTAGTTGGCCAATTTGATTGTTCTTCATCTTTTTTTTTTTTTTTTTGAGAGAGTCTCACTTTGTTGCCCAGGCTAGAGTGATGCGGCGTCAGCCTGCTCACAGCAACCTCAATCTCTGGGCTCAGCGATCCTACTTCGCCTCAGCCTCGCCGAATAGCTGGACTACCAGGCATGCGCACCATGCCCGGCCTGATGGTTTGTATATATATATACTTTAGTTGGTCAATTAATTTCTTTCTAATTTGTTGGTAGAGGACGGGTCTCGCTCAGGCTGGTTTCTGACTCCCTGACCTTGAGCGATACCGCCGCCTCAGCTACCCAAAGTGCTAGGATCTACAGGCGTGGAACCACCCCGCCGGCGATTTCTTTCTATTTTTATAGTCAGAGACACGGTTCGCTCACGAGCTGGGTTTGACTCCACCTTGAGCAATCCGCCCACCTCGGCCTCCCAGAGTGCTAGATTACAAGCGTGACCACTGCTCCCCGGCCTCTTTGTTTTTTTTTTTTGAGACAGGATCTCAACTTGTTGCCAGGTTAGAGTGAGTGCCCTGGTGTCAGCCTGAGCTCAACAGCAACCCAAGCTCCTGGGATCAAGCAATTCTCCTGCCTTGTAGCTCCCAAAGTACGGGACTAAGACATGACCACTGATGCCCGGCTGATTTTTTCTATATATATAGGTTGGCCAATAATTCTTTCTATTTATAGTAGCAGACTTGTCTTGCCTTGCTCAGTACTGGTTTCGAACTCCTGACCTGGAGCAACCCGCCGCCTCAGCCATCCCAGATCTAGATTAAGGCGTGAGCCACCACGCCCGGCCCCCATTCCTTAAGTATGGAATGCACATGGGGACTGCATTCAATAAATTAGGTATGCCCTGCACTTAAGTCTGAAAAAATAAAATAAAATAAAATGAAAAATAAAATTAGGGTATGAAAAGGGAGAAAATAAAAAGATTAAATTTATAGGAGAAACCCAACAAACACTACTTTAGCCAGGTAATCAAAGTCATTATAAACAATCATAAATCCACCTGTAATCCTAGCACTCTGGGAGGCTAAGGTGTGCGGATGGATCGTTTAACACTCAGGATTCCAAGACCACCTGAGCAACAGTGAAACCGTCTCATACTATAAATAGAAAGGAAATTAGCTGACAACTAAAATAATAAGACATTAGCCAGGCATGGTGGACATGCCTGTAGTCCCACCTACTCGGGAGGTTGAGGCAGGAGGATTCCTTGAATCCAGAACTTTGAGGTTGCTGTGAGCTAGGCTGATGCCTTAGCACTCTAGCCCAGGCAACAGAAGGAGACTCTGGATCAAAAAAAAAATCATAAGTCATGTAGATAGTATGACCTTTCATATGATGACATGAAAATGGCACTGTACCTCTGTGATCTTCCTCCCTAAACCCTTCATAAACCAAATCTAATCATGAGAAAAATATCACTCAAATTCCAACAAAGGTGCATCATCCTACAATACAGCTCACTAGCACTACTCAAAACTGTCAAGGTCTTCAAAAACTAGGAAAGTTTGAAAAACTGTCACACCACAAAGGAGCCAAATGAGACATTGACAACTAAATATAATGTGGTATACTAAAATGGAAAAATGACATTAGGTAAAAACTAAGAAAATAGAAATAAACTATGGATTTTAGTTGATAATATTGCTTCATTAACTGTAGCAAATTTACTAATATAAGATGTTAATAGGGAAAACTGGACAGGCACAGTGGGCAGTGGCTCACACCTGTAATCTCAGCATTTTGGGAGGCCAAAGCAGGAGGATCACTTGAGGCCAGGAGTTAAGACCACCCATAGCAAGACCCCAGTCTCTACAAAAGAAAAATAAGGGAAAATTGCAGAGTAGGGTGGGGGAAGCAGTCATTAAGGGGTCAACAACTCCTGAAAGGGCCAGGTGTGGTGGCTCACGCCTGTAATCCTAACACTCTGGGAAGCCAAGGCGGGCGAATTACTCAAGGTCAGGAGTTCGAAACTAGACTGAGCAAGAGTGAGATCCCGTCTCAAGTAAAAGTAGTAAGAAATTAATTGGCCAACTAATATATATAGAAAAAATTAGCCAGGCATGGTAGCACATGCCTGTAGTCCCAGCTACTCAGGAGGCTGAGTCAGGAGGATCGCTTGAGCCCAGGAGTTTGAGGTTGCGGTGAGCTAGGATAACGCCACGGCACTATAGCCCGGGCAACAGAGTGAGACTCTGTCTCAAGGAAAAAAAAAAACAACTTGAAGCAACCCCTGAAAGCTCAAAGTTTAAAAATGTGGTATAGCTGGCTACAGTGGCACATGCCTGTAATCCCAGCTACTTGCGAGGCTAAGGTGGGAGGATCCTTGAACCCAGGAGTTCAAGGCTGCAATGAACTAATCCTACCATCGCACTCCAGCCTGGGCAACAAAGCAAGACCCTGTCACAAGAAAATTTTATTTATTTATTTGAGACAGAGTCTTGCTCTGTTGCCCGGGCTAGAGTGCCATGGCATCAGCCTAGCTCACAGCAACCTCAAATTCCTGGGCTCAAGTGATCCTACTGCCTCAGCCTCCCAAGTAGCTGGGACTACAGGCACACACCACCATGCCCGGTTAATTTTTTCTATTTTTAGTTGTTTGGCTCATTTCTTTCTATTTTTAGTAGAGATTAGGTCTCACTCTTGTTCAGGGTGGTCTCGAACTCCTGAGCTTAAGCAATCCTCCCACCCAGAGTGCTAGGATTATAGGCATGAGACACCATGCCTGGCCCACAAAATATTTTTAAAAAGTAGTACAATATCTAATCCATTTTCCTAATGTGGCTAGTTAGCATCATTAAAAAATAATATCCTATTGCAAGTTTGGAAAAAATTTGGTTTCTTTATTATAGGATTTATCAGAACTTATGATATGCTAATGTATACCTATTCTGTCTTTCTTCCCCATTTCTTGATTTGGTCTAGATGTAAAGTCTCCACTTTGATCAGAAACAAGTTTCTTCACACTTATAAGAGAGCCATTTCTCCAGGTCTGCACATAAGAGAACATCTACACCCTGGAAAAGAAAGGGTTAAGAACCAAGAAATCAAACAATACGACTGAGTAATACAGAGCATCAATGATCCACTGGATGCCACCTTACCTGGTTTCCAGAAAGAGGTGAAGTGAAATGGTGACTATGGAGGTTTCGACCAGTATTGACATGTGTCAGCCGAATGGGCTGGCCACACTTGATGGGGGTTCCCCTCTCACACACTGTGGCAGTCTTCCCCCGTATCCTCCAGTAACTGTTGCTGTCGTCCACAGAGGTTACACCTGTTACTGACTGCTGACCACTACCTGCAGTTAAAGAAAGAAAGGAGACTCGCTTTCCCTGCTGCCAATGAGTTGAGTAGAGGCAGAGGCTCAGATGCATTCAAGATTCAGCTTCACCTGTAACCCACCACCATGGCCAAGGAAGACATTGCTACTGGAAGTGTAATGAATGTTAATGATGCTTTACAAGAAGTGCTGAAGAACTTCCTCATCCACAATGGCTATAGGGGATGTGCAAAGTGGCCAAAGCCTCAGACAAGGCCCAAGCCCTGCTTGCATCCAACTGTATGTAATGAGCCTGTGTACGTCAAGATGGTGAAGGCCCTTTGTGCTAAACAGCAAATGACCTAATTAGTGTTGATGATCATAAGAAACTAGGGAAATGGGTAGGCCTCTGTAAAATAGGGAAAACCCCATAAAGTGGTTGGTTGCAATCATGTTGTAGTTAAGGACTATGGCAAAGAATCTCAGGCCAAGATGTTATCAAAGTGTACTTCAAATGCAAGAAATGAACAAATAAGGCTGGGTAAGGTGGCTCACACCTGTAATCCTAGCACTCTGGGAGACCGTGTGCAGGAGGATCGATTGAGGTCAGGAGTTTCAGACCAGCCTGAGCAAGAGTGAGACCCTGGCTCTATTAAAAATAGAAAAAATTAGCCAGGCATGGTGTAGTGTGCCTGTAGTCCCAGCTACTTGGGAAGCTGAGGCAGTAGGATCACTTGAGCCCAGGAGTTTGAGGTTGCTGTGAGCTAGGCTGATACCATGACACTCTAGCCCAGGCAACAGAGTGAGACTTTGTCTCAGGAAAAAAAAAAAAAGAATGAACAAATAAAATGGCTTATGGTTTCCAAAATGAAAAAAAAAAAAAAAAGAAGGCGAGTTAAAAGCACAACCTAAAACCTTCTCCTTTCCCCTATGAACAACCTGGGCCCTGTGGACCATAAAATCAGATATGAAGGGAAGGGGGGGGGAGAAATGCCTAATATTCCCCATGTACATTAAATGGTTGAAAAAAAAACCATTAATTTCATAAGCTATTCAAGTTAATAGACAACCCTATAACTTAGGAGTGTGTCATATCACAAATTCCTTCAAGAATGGTGCCCCAAAGGGACACTAGGATATATAAATAAGGTTTTTTTTTTTTTAAGCACAGGCCAGTGGTTTTAACCCATAATATACTTAACCTAGGATAGCCCCTAAAATATTCAGGCTGTCAATAAATAATTGAACATGGTTTTTGCTAATATATTCAATGTCAAAATATGTATAACAATATTTTATATAACAATATGGAGGAAAAACTTTATGCATCAACCTTTAAATTCAGCAGCAATATAGGCTTCCTAAACTCTTATAACACCGATTGATAGACCCACTCATAAAAGTATTTTCCTGGGATCCATCTAAATTTTGGGTTAATCCTTGCCCCTTAAGGGGTTTACATTTCCCCCGCAGAGAAGCAAAGAAAGAAAAGGAAAGAGAAGAAAGAAGAGGAAGGAAAGAAAGGAAAAGAAAAAAGAAGAGAGAAATACACAATAGGTATCAGGCAACTGACCACTAGTTCTGGACTTGAAAATATTTTTTTTTTTTTTTTTGAGACAGAGTTCCTCCAAACTTTTGTTTGCCCCTGGCAGAGGTTGAGTTGCCCCATGGCCATCCAGCCTCCGCCTCCACCAGGCAACTCAAAACCGGGGCAGGCGGGATCCTTCCGCTGCTCAGCCCTCCAAAGGTAGCTAGACTCAAAGGCATGCCCACCCCACCAAATGCCGCTAATTTATTATATAATATTTAGTTGGTTCAATTAATTCTATTTTAGTAAGAGCGGGGTCTCCGCACCAGGCTTGGTTTAACTCCTGGACTCGAGCAATCCGCCCGCCTTCGGCCTCCCAGAACAGGTGCTAGGAATTTACAGGCCGGTGAGGGCCAACCCGGCGCCCGCCCCTGGAAAATATTCTTATTTTGACAACACAACCAATCCTGGTTTTCTCTGAATAGGTATTTATTATTCCCCATTTTTACCCTTGGAGTGCCCTTGGATTAGGCCTATACCAAGCCCCAAAGTCCAAACACAGGCCTCTTTAATGAAAAGGCCTGGGAGCTGAAACCTACACAGCCAACTTTTAGAACTAAGCCCCAAACTCAAACCAACTCCACCACCTGACCGCCCCCACTTAGGTCATCCTTATCTCCATCTTACTTGCTGTCAGTTTCCACTCTCCTCACGGCAATTCCAGAAGGATAAATCTTCCCTAAGCCTCACACTACCCAGTTGAATCCCGAAGGCCACCCTCCAATTAATTCCAAATGACTTCTCAATACTCACTGTTTCTCACCTTTTGGACCACACTGGCAGGGGGTCAAACTTTTAAACAGGGGGGCCCAGTTTCCACCTGCCTCCCACATTGGAGGCCGGGGGAGTGCAAAGCCCCGCACAATTCCACACATCCCCGCACTGTGGGCCTGGGACGAGTTGGGGCCTGCCCCTTAGGCAGGCGGGCCAAAAAGTGGGTTGAAAAAAAACCCGGCGGGGCAGAAAATAAATGCCCCAGCTTGGCCCGCCATGGTGGCAGAGGGGCCCCGAGTGAGGACCTGGGGACCACAGTATTTTGATACTTTCCCCTTTTTACCATGGTAAACAATAATGCCCCCCCTTTGCCCCACTAATATCTGAAAAATGAAATACAGAAAACTAATTAACACCCTCTTACGGCTTTCCCCCCCATCCAAAGCCCTCAGGACTTTTATATATCTAAAAAAAAAAAAAAAAGAAAGCCGGGTTGGCAGTGGCTTCACACCCTGTAATCCCTAGCACCCTGGGGGAAGCCGAAGGGCAAGTGGGAATTGCTTCAAGGTCAGGAGTTCAAAAACCAGCCCTCTTTGAAGGCCAAGAGCAAGACCATCCTCTACTATAAAATAGAAAATTAATTGACCAAGTTTAAATAATAATAATAGAAAAAAATAAGCCAGGCCCATGGTGGGGGCCATGGCCGTTTAAGTCCCCCCCAGCTTTACTTGGAGGCGAAAAAGGCAGTAGGATGCCTTGGAGTCCAGGAGTTGAGGTTGGCCCCTGTGGGACTAAGGGCCTGACGCCAATGGGCCAAAACTCACTCTAGGCCTGGGGCAACAAAGTGGAGACCTCCTGGTCTCCAAAAAAAAAAAAAAAAAAGAAAAGAAAGAGCCTGGGCCAATGGGTGGCCTCAACGCCCCGTTATCCTAAAGCCAATCTGAGGAGGCTTGGAGGGCCGGGGCCAGAATTGCTCGAGGTGCCAGGAGTTTTCCAAACCAGCCCCCCTGGTAGCCGAGGGAACCCGTTTCTCTACCTAAAAATAGAAAGAAAATTAAATGGCCCCAACCTTAAAATATAATATACAAAAAATTACCCTGGGCCATGGTGGCGGCATGTCCTGTAGTCCAGCCTTAACTTGGGAGGCTTGAAAGGCCAGTAAGGATTTGGCCCCTTGAGGCCAGGGAGATTGCAAGGTTTTGCCCCTTATGAGCCTTAGGCTTGAATCCCAGGGCACTCCACTCTAGCCTTGGCAACAAAGGTCCTAGAACTAGCAACTCAACCACCCCACCTGAACGCCATTAGGTCACTTTTTATTTCCCCTCATCTTTAACTTGCTGTCAGTTCCACTCTCTACGCATCAAACTTCTGTCTTTAAAAAAAAAAAGAAAGAAAGAAGCCTAACAACTTCTCCCTCAACCTCTGATTACTGTGTTACCAGCCTTCTCAGTCATCAAAGTCATGCTTCCATAAGCATGGTCACCATTTCCATTCTTCTACCTTTTTTCACTTTTTCCCTTATTTTATTTCCATGAAGTCTTTACTTTTTCACTTTCTTAGTCAACCTTCCATTCTTCCCCTATCATATATCTCGAAGATACCCTGGAAAGTTCCTTATAACTGGCCCTTATCTCTTTTTTTTTTTTTTTTTTTTGAGGAACAGCGTCTCACTCCTACACCCCGGGGGTTAAGAAGTTGCAACTGGGCCCAATCAAAATCCTAGCAGACCTCAACCTCCCTGGGGGCCTCAAAGGATCCTCCCTGCCCCCTTCAGCCCCCACTAAGGGAGCCCTTGAGGTTACAGGTCAATCCCACCACACCTGGCTAATTTAATCATTTTAGAGTGCAGGGTCTTTACCCTTGCTCAAGCTGGGGTCTTGGGAAACCTCCTTGACCTTAAGGCAACCTTCCCACGTGGCCCCTTCCAGTTCCACCCTGAGTGGTGGGAGCCACAGCAACCCCGCCCATTATCTTGTCTCCATCAGTTAAGTTTCTTAAACAATTTGGTTTGGGGGTCCAGGACAAAAAGCATCCATATTTTTAATAGTTCTCAAGTTGATTAAACTGGACACCAGATTGAGAAACCACAGTTTTCCACCTGGGGGTTTTAGTTTTCACCTACTACCAACACATCCTCAGTCCCATGTCTGTACAATGGATGTAAATTAACTCTGGGAACTCAACCTGCCCCAAAATCCACCTAGCCAATTAGAAACAAAAATATTTAAAATTTAACTCTGTAATCTCAAGCAAGCACAAAGATGCCTCTTTTCCTGAAACTCAAGAAACTGGAACCGGTTTCCAAATTTGGCCTGCCACAAACAGAAAACACCCAAAGAGCTTTTTAACCTACATCAACATTTTCGTACCTGCCCTAGGTTCCTCCTCTCCCACTGCATTCCTTTTTTTTCTATTTACTATTACAGGAACACCCCATCCTAATTCCAGTAGAATCCAAAAGTAAGGGGAAACGAGATTCAACTTTAAGGTTTTGATTATTAAGGGGATTAATCATTATTAAGATTAATTCAGACAAACCAATGATAACCTCAGTTTCCTTTCTAGTCTAATGCTCCCCACCACAGGGTTTTGGAATTCAAGACCACAAACAGCTAAACCTTGAAGAGAACCCATTCCTCCTTTAGTAATTAACCATCCAGTAGTCACAAGATAAAAATCAGTTTACTTTAGAATGTCCTCACATCTCATTAGCTTGAACCTTTTCCTCTTTTTTTCC